CCAAGATAAATCAATGGAGCCATGTTACAGATCTGCCAAGGTTTCAACCAAGCTGTGGAACAGACTAGAGGGGTTAATCTATCTGTTGTTGGGTCCTAAACTCACTGAAAATGTTTCCTTCTCAAACACACTGAAATAACTCCACAGAGGCCGGTATCCAATCACCAAGTCATCCTTTATTTACACGTGGAGACACTGACACTGATCCAGCTCCCTCAGAGACAACCCTCAGAGTGAACAAGATGATTGGCACTCCTATTTATATCTGTCAGCCAGGGCTCCCTGATTGGAGCAGATTAACAGACCCAATCAGGTAACTCATATTCTATGAGGTCACTATGAATCACTACACACACTTATTGTATCTAAACCAGTTCTAATGATTGAACCATCCAATTAGTGCTAAAGGGCTCCTTTTTGAGTGGACATTCAATTGAGGTTTTCAAAATCATGACAGGTTTGGATACAGTAGATAGTGAGAAACAATGTCCACTGACAGGTGGGATGGTAACCAGAGGACACAAGTTTGAATTATTAGTGACTCTGTAATGGCTACAGCCTCTAGGCTTTGGTCTCCTCACAAGTGAAAATATTTTCTCTACATTTACCTTATCGGAACCTCTCCACACATTGAAGATCTTTATCAAATCACATCTCACCCCTTGTCTGTTCCTGGCTTGTTCAGCCATTCTAATATTTCAGCCTCTTACATTTGCTATTCTTTGAGTATTTTCAGGGACAGCATAGTTGGTGAACGTATCAATGTCAAATGGAAATACAGGTAGTTCTGTTATAACGTGTGTTTCGTTAAAGCGAGTTGGCTGTAACGCAATTGATGAATAGTGGATGTTTGGATAATGCAAACTTTCTGCTATACAGGTACAGCAATTTTCTAGGGCAATTTTCTATAGCACGAGGTCACACAAGACTGCAACTATTGCGTTATAGGAGAACTACCTACAATGGAATCCATTCAGCTCAGGCCTGTTCAACCTGATCCTTTTCTAACAGGGTCACCAGTTTCTCCTGACTGCTGAGGTGAAATTTATATTTTATTACATAACACGATGATATTTTTACCACTCATTGAGGCACAGCATTTTTCTCAATTTTCTGTGTGAACCTTGACCATTTCACCATGACTATTGTCACTCCACATTTTCCCATGGCCACATTCTTCTCTACACGAGAGGCCTAACTCTATATAACTCCTCACAGCTTATTGAAGCATTTGTGTGGCTGAGTCAGCAGATTGGGGCTTCATGTCCCATTCTGAGACTTTCAGCCCAGTCTGACCCTTGGATGAAGTACTGGAAGAAAGATTCTCACATTGGCTGCCTGTGGGATCGTGCTGTGCGCAAATTGCCTGCTCGCTTTCCCACATTACAACAATGAATATACTTCCGAACAGACTCATTGACTGTAACATTCAATACAACTTGCTAAATTCAAGAGAAGGTGGTATAAAAATTCTAATCTTTCATTTCCACCTATCCTAAGGCCAAACCCAATTTGCAGAGAGCACACAGTTCTTTAACTTCAGTTCTGTTGGCGTTTTAGCTCATAAGAGTGATTGGGTATTGCAAAAATCACACAATAGACATTATCAACAATTAACTCATAACTGCTTTGAATCAGTAGAATAAGTTTAGGTGAACATTGCATTTGTTTTGATGTAGCGAAATCACTTCAACAAATGCTAATGCAAATTCAAACGTCCATTCCCCAGAATCATCTGATGATTCCAAACACACCACAGACTTTTCCCTGTTTTACAACTTTCACCATTTTCCTGTGTGAATCTGCTGCATTTATTTATGGTTTATGGAGCATTTAGACACGGTTGTTATACAGTCTGACAAAATCGTACACATCTACGATTTAACAGGATTTATCATGTATTATTAAACTAATATTTACAAATTTGTAAAATTTACAAACATTTTTGTTTTTCAGGCCAAGTTGCAGAAGAATATCTTGTCACTGTCAGCTGGAGGCTACTGTGTTTGAAAGGAGCCTGTTTTAGGGCATGATGACTGAATGAATAATCAAGATACCAGGCATAATTCCCTTCACCATGTGCTGTTTTACCTCCCATGCCTGTCATTACTGAAATATCTCCCGGCCAGGAAGTGTATACTGTACAGATCAGGTCTACTCCTGTCCTTCCAGGTGATAGAGTTAGTGGATTTGGAAGGGGCTTTCGAAGGAACCTGGGTGAGTTGCTACAGCGCATCTTGTAGATAGTACATACTGCCACCGCTGTGAGTGGTGGGGAGAGTGGGTTGTATAAGGCAGTGGGTTTGAAAGGGCTAATGCCAAAGATTACTTTAAGCTCCACCCAATCTGATGATGCCAGAGGATTTGTTTGGGAAGAGGCAGAGCATTTTCGGACCTCAAAGGAGCAGATCCATTGTCCTTGGTCTCACGATACTTTGATCTTACTTATGTAACTTTTACCTGACTGCTATCTTGCAATAGACTACATGTTGTTTAAGACAGAGTCTCTCCTCATTTGACTATCGAGTGGTTTTTCTCTAACACTTTAGACCAAGTGGAGTCTGTAGAAGAGGAAATTGTAGCAGCAAGCCACCCAACCTCTGTTGGCATTGCATACTCATACAACAGGCTGAAAATTTAAGGTGGTGCCAATCTAGTATGAAGCTTTGTCCTGGCAAATATTGAATAAAAACCAAAAAAACTGCGGATGCTGTAAATCAGGAACAAAAACAAAGTTGCTGGAAAAGCTCAGCCAGTCTGGCAGCATCTGTGAAGGAGAAAAATTAGTTAACGTTTCCGGTCCGGTGACCCTTCCTCAGAGCAGTTCTGAGGAAGGGTCACCAGACCTGAAACGTTAACTCTGTTTTCTCCTTCACAGATGCTGCCAGACCTGCTGAGCTTTTCCAGCAACTTTGTTTTTGTTCCTGGCAAATATTGAGCTTCTTGAGTGTTGTTAGTGCTGCACTCATTGAGGCAAATGGAAAGTATTCTGTCACACTTCTCACTTGTAGATGGTGAGCATGTTTTGGGGAATCAGGAGGTGAGTTACTCACTGCAGTATTCCTAGCCTCTGACCTGCTCTTGTAGCCCCTGTGTTTATGTGACTTGCTGTTTCAGTTCAATTATTGGTTAACAGTAACCCCCTGTGCGGGGATGTTGACAGTACGGAATTCAGTAATAATAATGTCAAGGGGTGACAGTTGGATTCTCTCTTGTTGGAGATGATCATTGCCTGGCACTTGTGGCACTAATGTTACTTGCCACTTAACAATCCAAGTCACAATTTGGTACAGGTCTTGCTATATATGGACATGGACTGCTTCAATATCTGTGGAGTTGTGAATGGTGCTGCTGGGCTTAAGCTCAACTTAAGTCTTGTTTCTATATCCCTGTCCTTAGCCTCAGATTCAGTGCTATAAATATTAGTCATAGTAATGTGTGTGTGTTAGTGTTGTATATTGATCTTTTGTATTTATATACTCTATTGTGGGGGACACCGAACAGCTCTGTGTGCAGAGATGGATAAAAGGGGTGGCAAAAGAGAGGAAGGCAACAATAACTGAAGGCTTAGCTGGGTAAGGGTTAAAAACAAATGTATTTCTCAGCATTTTGCTTAAAGACAAGGTCTCCCACCTGCAGTTGTGGATAAAGGAACTCAGTGTCTGCCTGAAAAGATAAGAACTAAGACTGTTTACCTTTGAGAAGGCCTTGGATAGCAGGAAAGTTTTTTTTTCTTTGCTTTGTCAAAGGTTGAACTTTTAGAAACCTTGAGAAAACTGGAACAAGGTGCAAGGAAGCCTCAGGGAGGAAGACAGGCAATAGCGAATGCAAATATATCCAGCCACAAACGACAAAGAATTGGATACATGTCACTTTTGTGTGATATTCTGAAGAGGGTGTAAGAATCAGCTATAGTAACATATTACACATTATGAGGGTGGCAAAGTGCTCAGTGGTTAGCACTGCTGCCCCACAGCGCCAGGGACCTGGGTTCGATTCCACCCTCAGGTGACTGTCTGGGTGGAGTTTGCACATTCTGCGTGGGTTTCCTCCGGATGCTCTGGTTTCCTCCCACAGTCCAAAGATGTGCAGGTTAGGGTGGATTGGCTATTGTCTATAGCATCCATCCAGGGATATGCAGGCCAGGTGGATTAGCCACGGGAAATGCTGGGTTACAGGGATAGGGAAGGGGTCGTAGGTCGAGGTGGGATGCTGTTTGGAGGGTTGGTGCGGGCTCGATAGGATGAAAGGCCCACTTCCACGCAGTCAGGATTCTATGATTATAAACATCAGAAACTTGAGAGCAGTTCGATCATTAGGGAGGAGTGGACTGGACAACTACTCAAGTCATGGAGAGATCAACCATCCAAGGACATCGTGTATGTGGGAATGCCAAATGCCAGACGTGTGAGGATACTTGTAGAGGACATCTTCTCAGTAAAGGGGTTTGATTGATTACATGACATATCTGTTTGTGCCATTGTGTACACAGAGTAGGGACCAAACCCAGGCGAGGAAAGGACTCAACATAATGCAATCATCAGCAAACATCCCCATTTCTAAACTTATGATGGAGGGAAGATCACTGATGATCAGCTGAAGATGGTTGGGTCTAGGACAACTCTTGTGGTGCAGTGGTAATGTCCCTACCTCTTAGCCAGGAGGCCTGGGTTCGAGGCCCACTTCCCCCAGAGATGGGTCATAACATCCCTGAACAGTTTGTTTGGAAAATATCTAGCCTGCAATGGTGTCCTTGCTGAGATGACTGCCAATAACCATCTTCCCTTGTACTAAGCATTAATTTAATCAATTCAGAGTGCCCCCCAGATTCCCATTGATTCCAGTTTTGCTCAGGCTCCTGGATGCCACACTCAGTCAAACCCTGTGCACTCTGTCCTCACCTCTAGTACCTGGACCGTAGGCAGAATGCAATCCCTCCACATGGAGACTGTCACTTGGTATATATTTCTATCTCAGATTTTTAAATGATGATAAAGTGGTTAGAGCTGTAGTTTATTTACAAGAGCAAATGATCGCACATTTCTGATCGTACAATTGTTTCTCTAAAATGTGTACATGGCGCATTAAAAAATATTCAACAACTTAAATGGTCTAATTGTTTGTCACACACAAAAGAGACTTAGGCCTTATGAAGAGCCATGTGCCAGCAGATAGCACCATGGGAATATCAGAAATTGCTGTCACTGTACAGAGTGCCTGGGCACTTTGTATGCTTTTACAACAACAACCTGTGTTCACCTAGCACCTTTAACATAGCAAAAATGTCCGAAAGTTTTCACAGGAAAACTATCAACAAAATTGGCACTATGATGAAATATTAAGACAGGGAACAATAAGTTTTGTCAGAAGTTTTAAGGTGCATCAGAAACAGAAGAGGAAGAGAGATAGATAAAGGCAGAGACGGAGAGGTTTGGTGAAGGGTTTCCAGAACCTGGGGACTAGTTGGCTGGAGGCACACAAAAATGGGGGAGAAATGACAAGAAGCGTGCAAGAGACCGAGATAACACAGTGTGGAGCTGGAGGAACATAGAGACCAGGCAACATCAGAGGAGCAGGAAAGTCTGAAGAAGGGTCCCGACCTGAAACGTCAGCTTTCCTGCCCCTCTGATGCTGCCTGGCCTGCTGTGTTCCTCCAGCTGCACACTGTGTTGTCTCTGACTCCAGCATCAGCATCTCCACGCAAGAGACTGGGATTGGAGGAGCGCCGAGATCTTGGAAGGTTTTAGGATTGAACGAGGATAAAGAACCCAGGGAAAAATGAGGACAGCAAAGTTCAATGGATCCAAGGGTCAATACCAAAGGCTTCTGACAGAATGTGGGCCAGGCACATCCTCTCAGAGAGGGAGAAGGGCAAAGGAGCCAGAGGGTAGATCAGTTAAAAACAACACAGGGAATGGGGGAAGGAGGTAGATGCGGGGCCAGGGCAGAGAAGGTGGGAGCACAGAGGTCTAGGGTGAGGTTTCTTCACTGGTTAACCTGCCCTGGCTATGGACAACTCTCCAGCAAGTGGGAATGTTAATATGTTAGAAACCGTGGTCACCCATGTTCAGCCTGGAAGCGAAAGATAACGGGAAAACACACAGAAATCAGCTACCGATAAATGGAAATGACATTTTAAAAAGTGAACTTTATCATGTCAATTTGAATGTTGACCTGTCCCATTTACAAGGGTCAGTGTTACATGCAACTTAAAGGCATCGAATGTCTTTCACAATAGTCTGAATGGTTGAATCACTTGCTGTCATAAAATATATAATTCATTTCTGCTATAAAAATCAAACTTTTATAAAAAAAATTACATTTCATAAAAATGTTCCAAAAATACCATTGGAGAAAGGAGAGGTTTGGTCCTTTTGCGATGGCTTTTGTGTAACAGTATCCCCGGTTTGCTCAAGGATCTGAGGTATTTCATGATTTATTTCCCCCTCCAATGTAACAGGCAGTAATGCTCCACAGATACCCCCAGCCCACACCCCTATTCGGGGTCCACCAACGTTTTACGGCAGAGTTATAGTTCGACCTGTCTGTGGAGATCTCGAAGCTTAGATCATGGCGATGGCCTCTTGGGTGCGGTTGATGCCTGAGCTGGGGACCACCATGTTGGTGTCTGCTTTACAGTTTGTCTTCTTGTCTCTCTTTGCCAGCATTTCAAGGAAGGTGTTTTGAGTGATGGAGCTGAACTCCATGGCGAAAGTCCCGTAGAAAATGAGAATGATGATGGTGAAAACCCACTCGCAGATAGCTGCTGCGTGCTGGAGCTGGGAGCTCTCCTGAATGAAGAAGACCCCACCTGGAAAGATGGTTAAGGAATTTATAAACTGGTGATGAATTTCTAGATTGTATTTGGGATAGGATTTGGGGATAATGTAGGTGATATTCCTGAAAGAGGTGCGCTGCAGAAAGGATACTCATAACAAGGTTGATGAAGGCCACAATGGTGAGGAATGCTCGGCAGTGGCCTATTTGGTAGTCCAGGGAGTTCTTTGCTATCCTGTAAGTGAGCACCGATTGGAAACAGATGAACAGCATACTGCTGGGGAACCCTACTCCAGCGCCAACATAGTGCAGCACTTTGGCATTGTCAACCTGCAGGAACAAGATAGTTCAGCTGTTAGACAAACATCACCCTCTTCCCTTCGCTTTCACACGCTGATCTTTCAAATAATATTTCACAAGAGTCTAAAGCCCAGTGAATGAAGCTCCAGTCCAAAGCCACAACCTTTCCTGAAATCACATGATCAGGCTATGCAAACTGATTGGCTTACAGACAATTATTTTCTGCTTTTTTTTTGGTCAAATTATCAATAAGCCAAAATCCTAGAGTGCAACATGTTGATACAGACTCCTACAGTGCAGTTCCACTGAGCAAAGGGCCAAGTTTCAAGTCCCACCTGCTATGCAATAACATCTCTGAACAGGTTGATTAGGAAAATATCTCCAATGTACTGATCTAACAGAGCGGTATCCCACAGGGCAAATAGAGACGGAAATGTTACAGCATGGAAAGTGTCCCTTCAGTCCGTCATGTCTGCACCCTAGCCCACTTTCCAGCAACCATTCCACAGTCTGTCAGATTACAGCCAGATGCAGGTTCCTTTTCAATAAGTTGAAGATTTCTGCCTCAATCAACAAACTGGGCAGCGAATTCCACTCACCCACTACACTTCCAGGCAGCGAGCTCCAGACCCCTACCACTTTCTGGCTGAAACATCTTTCCTCATGTCCCCTCTACCAATTACATTAAATCTGTGATCTCTGGTGATGTGAACCAACATCAATTTTCTTTTTTATTCATTCACAGGGCAGTTAAGAGTCAACCACATTGCTGTGGTTCAGGAGTCACATATAGGCTAGACCAGGTAAGGATGGCAGCTTCCTTCCCTAAAGGGTTTTTCCCCCTAACAATCGATAATGGATTCACGGTCATCATTAGATTCTTAATTCCAGATATTTATTGAATTCAAATTCCACCACCTGCCATGGCAGGATTCGAACCCAGGTCCCCAGAACATTATCTGGGTCTCTGGATTAACAGCCCCCTGATAATACCACTAGGCCATTGCCTCTCTTTTCTTTTCTTTTTGTATTTATGTTGCTAATTAAACTTAGTCAAATTCTATGGGCGAGATTGAGGAGAATGAGCCTGTGTTGATTAGATTTTGAAGGTTGAAGCATACAATATTAAGACAGGGCTCGATAGAGTTGATGCAGTCAGAATATTTCCCCTCTTGCTGGGGATCTGGAAGGCGGAAACACAGTCATAGGATGAGGGGTAGGCCATTCAGGGCTGAGATGAGGAGGAATTTCTTCTCTCAGTTGGTGGTGAATCTTTGGAATTCCCAACCATGGAGGTTCAGTAATTGAGTATGTTCAAGACAGAGATCCACAGATTTCTGTATAAAGACAACATTGAGATAGAAGATTAGCCCTGACCTTGTTGCATGGTGGAACAGTCTCAAGGAGATAAATGATCTACTCCTGCTCCTATTTCCTATGTTCCCAAGGAGTTCACAGGATCATTACAGAGCAAGATCCAACACCAATAGCAAAATTGGATTGCGATAGTGTCTTTAACATAGTGAAATGTCCCAGCACATCTCACAGGGATAATGTCAAAGTTAATTTGACACCAGGCCACACGAGATGGTAGCTTTTAAGGTTCTTCTCAAAGCAGGAATGAGAGGAAAAGAAACAGAAAGTGCTCAGGGCCTCAGCAGATGTGGGAAAGATTGACAAAAGGGTTTGAGGAACTGCGGAACCGTACAGAGGTAGGTTACAAACAGATGCGCATGTGTTCTTGAGCCACAAAAACAGTAAATGCTGGAGAAACCCAGCAGGTTTGACAGCATCGAAACAGAGTTAATGTTTCGGGTCCAATATATTCTACTTTGCTTTCACGGAATTGCTCTTGAGCAGTAACACCTAACGGACAGCAGAGGGCGGTAAACACAACATACTGCACCAACAGGCCTGAGTGATACAAACAGCTACAGAGCATATCATCAAGGTCAAGGATTATGACAGCAATGCTCTGGTATCCACAGGAAATATGTCCCAGATACAGATACAAAAAGAAAACAAGCAGAACCTAGAATCTACAAAAAGAGTGCAAGATGCAATGGACCATTTCGAACTGAGGAGAAATATCTTCACCCACAGGGTAGTGACCCTGTGGAACTCTCTACCACAGGAAGCTGTGGACATGAAGTTACTGAATATTTTTAAGAAAGAAACAGATAGATTTCTAGAAATTCAAGGTGTCAGGGAGCATGGGTAGAAAGCAGGAGTGTGGTGTTGAGATAGAATAGCAGAGCAGACTCGATGGGCTGAATGGTCCAATTTGGTTCCTATTTTTCTATGTTTCTAAGAGTTCTCCAGCTCAGAGGTTCCCAGAATGCCAACAGGCACAAAGTCTACCATGTAGACCAGCCATACAAACAGCAAGACCTAATGTCCTGCAAGCAGTGTGGCAGCACTCAAACATTCAGAAGTGTTTTTTTTTAAATTCATTCCCAGGATGAGGGTGTTGCTGGCTGAGCCAGCATTTATTACCCATCCCTAATTGCCCAGAGGGCAGTTAAGACTCAACCACATTGCTGTGGTTCTGGAGTCACATGTAGGCCAAGACCAGGTAAGGATGGCAATTTCCTTCCCTAATGGATGTTAAGTAAAACAGATAGGATTTATTTCCACCCCCCCTCCGACAATTGACAATGGAGTCATGGTCATCATTAGATTCTTAATGCCAGATATTTTATTGAACTCAAATTCCACCATCTGCCATGGCAGGATTCAAACCCAGGTTCCCCCAGACATTATCTGGATTTCTGGATTAACAGTCCAGTAATAACACCACTAGGCCATCGCCTCCCCCAGCGGTACTAGACAGGTAGAGTTAGGTATTGATGTTGTGTAAGTGGAAGCTAATCCTGTATCTGCTGATAGAAACATTGAAACTAGGAGCAGGAGTAGGCCATTCAATATGATCATGGCTGATTCTCTACCTCAATGTTTGACTCTATGTCTCTACATACCAACGTTTTCCCTATACCTCTCGATGCCTTTAACATATAAAAGATGTATCTATCTTTTTCTTGAATATATTCAGTGATTTGCCCTCCACCGCTTTCTGTGGTACAGAATTCCACAGGTTCACAACTTTTTTAAGTGAAGAAATTTTCATCACTTCAGTCCTAAATGGTTTAGCCCATATCCCAAGATTGTGTCCCCTGGTTCAGGGAAAACAATCTCCCTACATCTAATCTGTTCAGCCCTGTTGGAATTTTAAATACTTCTAAACTCCAGTAAATGATAGAATCCCCACAGTTTGGAGGCAGGCCATTTGGCCCATCGAGTCCACACCGATCCTCCGAAGAGCATGCCACCCAGACCCACGCCCGCACCCTATACTGTAACCCTGCATTTCTCATGGCCAATCCACCTAACCTGCACATCTTTGGACTATGGGAGGAAACCCACACAGACACGGGGAGAACGTGCAAACTCCACACAGACAGTCGCCCGAGGCTGGAGTCAAACTGGTATCCCTGGCGCTGTGAGGCAGCAGTGCTAACCACTGAGTCATCGTGCTGCCCCAAATACTGGCCCAGTCGAACTAATCTCTCCTCATAGGATACTTCTGTATGTCTGGTATCAGCCTAGTGAACCTTCACTGCACTCTCTCTATGGCAAACATATCCTTTCTTAGGTAGGGAGGCCAAAAAGGTTCAGGTGTGGTTTCACCAAAGCCCTGTATAATCCTTCTGAATGTAAATCCTTGTGCAATAAAGGCCAACAAAGCATTTGCCTTCCTAATCATAGAATCCCTACAGAACAGTTAGAGGCCATTTAGCATCCACCAAAGAGCAACGCACCATATCCCTGTAAGACCATATTTACCATAGTTAACCTGCCTATCCTGCAATTTAGCATGGCCAATTTTGGGTGGAAACTAGAGCATCCAGAGGAAACCCACGCAGACACAGGGAGAATGCACAAGCTGCACACAGACAATTGCCCGAGGGTGGGATCAAACCAGGGTCCCTGGCACTGTGAGGCAGCAGCGCTAACCAATTAGCTACCCCATTGCTTGATGCACCTTCAAATGATGTTGGCAAGGTGTAGATCAGAGTGGGGGCAGCGGGTGCTTGACAGTATGTGTGAGAAAATAGGAGGCCTAATTGGAAATGTACTCAAGCAGGTAGGGACTGCACATCCCTCTGTGATGAATGTTGATGGAGGAACCTCGGAGGATGGTTTAGCTGGAAATCCATGGAGAGGTTAAACAGTATGAGGAGTATGTAGCTTGTGACCCTGGTATTGTAAGTGAGTGGCAGGGAAGACTGGAGTAAATAGACAGGGTTTACAGGAGATCTGGGCAAGGAGCTGGGAGATGCCAAGAGGCTCAAAGACCTGAAAGAGTGGAGGGAGATTTGAAATAAGATTATCAACCCTCCGAGAGAGCCCTGTACCCTCTAAAAATTAATAATGAATCATTAGAATATGGCCTTGGGCATCCCGAAGAAAATCAAACAGAAGCATTAAAACATATCTTTCCAATAAGTTTCTTTGAATGTTTGAGTTAGTCATAAACATTTTGATGGACATTGCAAAATTGTGAAATCAACTACAGAAGAATTTCCAGCCATTCCAATTGGCATACCCAAGATTTTGGAGAATTTGGGGCTTAGAGAAGATAAGGCCAAGAGTTGGTTTGGTCGAGATGTTCCAAACCATGTGGGGTCTGAATGGTGTAGAGAGGAAGGAACGGTTCCCACTGAGGGAAGGATCGGGACTGGGATGGCACAGGTTTCAGGTCAGTGCCAAAAGAAGCAATGGAGATTGGAGGAAAAATGCAGCGAGAGGGTCAGATCTGGAGCGGATGGCCTTACAGTGTGGTGGAGACAGGCCCGCTCAAGTCTTTTGAAAAGGAGCTGGATCCTTTTCTGAAACTGAAGCATTTTCAGGGCTGCAGGGAAAAGGCAAGAGTGGCACTTAGAGATAGTAAGAACTGCCAATGCTGGAGTCAGAAATAACATAGTGTGGAGTTGGAGGAGGACAGCGGGCCAGCAGCACAGAGAAGCAGG